CAACCATGTTCATAGCAGTATCATTCACAACAGCCAAGAAGTAGAAGCAACCCAAATGTCCACTGAAGGATAAATGGATAAACAGACTGTAGTATATACATATAATGGACTATTATTCAGTCATAAAGAGGAAGAATATTCTGGCACATGCTACAACACAGATGAACCTTGAGGGCATTATGCTAAATGAAATAAGCCAGTCACAAAAAGACAAGTACTGTTTGATTCCACTCATATGAAGCATCTACAATAGGCAAATTCATAGAAACAGAAAGTAGCATGGTAGTTACCAGGGACTACGGGTAAGGGGAAAAGACTAGTTTTTTTTTTTCAACGGATACAGAGTATGAGATTTGCAAGATTAAAAATATTAATGTGAATAAACTTAACACTAGTGAACTGCATGCATTAAAAGTGGTTTAATTGGGGGCTCTTGGGTGGCTCAGTGGTTGAGCGTCTACCTTTGGCTCAGGTCGTCATCCCAGCGTCCTGGGATCAAGTCCTGCATCAGGCTCCCCACAGGGAGCCTGCTTCTCCCTCTGCCTGTATCTCTGCCTCTCTCTGTGTGTCTCTCATGAATAAATAAAATCTTAATAAATAAATATGGTTTAATTGGTCAATTTTATGTTTTCTTACCAGAATTTTTAAAAAAAGGATTAATGGGGTCATGTCAGTAGACACAGGAGCCCACTTGAAGGAAGGAGTTCCCATTGGTCAAATTTGAGACAAATACATTTAAAAAAAGCAATGATTATTATCAACTATAACACATTAATTTTTTTTAATTTTTTTATTTATTTATAATAGTCATCAGAGAGAGAGAGAGAGAGAGAGAGGCAGAGACACAGGCAGAGGGAGAAGCAGGTTCCATGCACCGGGAGCCCGATGTGGGACTCGATCCCGGGTCTCCAGGATCGCGCCCTGGGCCAAAGGCAGGTGCCAAACCGCTGCGCCACCCAGGGATCCCAACACATTAATTTTTAAAAATCTGTGAGGTAATAGTGATACTAAAAAAAATCTTTATAGAAAAATGGTAGATAATCATTGTGAAAGAAATTACATATTCAGAAAATAAATACTTTCTATACAACTCTCTATGAAGTAGTAGCTGATTTAGGTAAGGATTATTGATGAATGCTTAAATAATTAACAACTGCTATGGAACAAGGTATTCAAATGATACTGAAGCAACACCCCACAGATGACTTATTAATTACAAGGGAGGATTACATGTGCCTTACAATGGAAAGATGTGGCAGTTAACACTTTAATAAAGTAATCAAACTTAGCATCCCTATTAGAACACCCTGTTGTTAGATGATGCCTCCTAATCTGATACAGGATGAATACACAACAGTACTTTTGAATTGTACCAGTCAAAACTGCTAACTCTGAATCTAATCCCTCCTCTAGATCCAATTTCCAGTTTATTTGGAAATATAGGGGGATAGAAGAACAAGTTAAATGACACCACATGGAAACAATTAAACACAATTAAGAACGTGAGACAATCTACAAAACAAGTGATCTAGATTAAGAGAGACTAAGGAAACAATAATTAAACACCAGAACCTTGATTAGATCCTGTTTGAACAATTTACAGAAGACATTTTTGGGACAACTGGGAAAACTGAAATATAAACTAGATATTAGATGATTTTTAATAATTATGATTTAATATATATTTCTAATAAACATAAATAAAAATGCTTAACCTCACTAGTTATTAAAATAAAATATATTAAAATATACCTATCAATTGGTGACAATAATTAATACAATTTTGGGGGGGAGGACAATCTGGTAACATGTAACAGAGGTTTTTAAAATATTTATTATACTTTACCCAGCAATTCCACTTCTAGGTATTCATCCTATAGAAATAAGAGTTGTACATAAATATTTGTTGACCAGAATGTTCACTGAAGCATTACTAAAATGAAAATGGGCACAACCTACTTATCCAAGATGGAATAATAAATTATATAATACTTTGTAATCATTACAAATCTTGAGATATGTAATATGAAGAGGTCCTTAGAATACATTAAGTATTTGGAAGATAGGTTATTTTTTGTGATTCCAGAGGGCAGAACTAGAAACTACTACTGGAAACTACAGGGAAGCAGAGTTTGGCTCAATGCAAGGAAAAATTCTTCTCACTAAAATTTTTTAAGCAATGAATGGCCTGCTTCATGATTTAATGAGTTTTGTATTAGAATTCTAAGTAATGGCTGAATGGTCACTTGGCAAAGACATATAGAACAGATTTATATGTTAGGAGATTAAAGAGAAGATATTAATGATCCTTTTCTACTCTAGGAACATGTAATTCATTATAAAGCTTTCCATGAGCTGGAATGTCAGGAAGGAAGTTATTGGTATTTCTTTGTAATGCTATTAGAGATTCATGTGGCACTAAAAGAGATCATATGTATATTAGAATAATGAAGTTGAAGGATGATTTACATTATCATATTCTATACCAATAATATATACACCACTGATAAAGTGAAAGATGATTAACCCAATGGAGAGGACTCAAACTGAATTGGCAGGAACTGCATTTGAATCTACTAATTTTAATTTCTCTGTATCTGACAAAGAATCTGAAAAGTTATACTTGTTTAAGGTGATATAACACTATACGTATCAAAAAGGACAGGAGGCACTATGTGCTTCCTGTTTGCTCCTGGTTGCTCTTCACTTCATATCTAAATAAATAAGAAAAGGAATATGCCCCCCCCCAATCTCCTCTGCAATTTGGTATATTATCTTTCAACCTCAGATGCATGAATAGTGGGCAGTCGGAAGTAGTAAGAACATGGTATCACACTGGGTTCCCGGAAAGTAGAAAAAAGCACTGGAGGTCTGTGAAATTTTTAGAACAATAGATGTTGACAATTCTTAGATGTCAAAAGGAATATTTTCAAATACACACAAAAGTAGAAAAATAATATAATGAACCCCATAACTATTACTCAAGCTTCATTCATCAACATTTCATTAAAGCTGTTTTCTCTAATTTTCTAGGGTTTTGGCTTTTTTTCCAAGATTTGAAAACAAACATCTGACATTTATACTATTTTACCTATAAAAATTTCAGTTTGAAAGGATATCCTTTCTTGTGAATAATACCAAATATTCAATAAATGCTGGCTGCTATGGCTAAATACTATTCTATGCCTTACACTTGTACTAAAATATTCACATAAGCTAAGGCTCATTATTATACCCATTTTGCAAATGAGAAAACTGAATTTTTATTGGCTCAAGATCACACAGCCAGGAAGCAGTGGAGCTAGGGTATAAACCCAGATGTTAACGCTAGACTAGAGTTTACTTTCCCAACCACAAAGTATGCTATCTTTCCTCTACATGCATTATTCTAGCTATTCCTTGTGAGATATAGATTATTATGGTAAAGTGTGAGAAGGACTCCTAAATGTGAAAGAGAATGGAAAAGATACTACAACATGAGCAGCTTTTCACTGCTTTTCTTGTGAAATTTTCTTTTCCAAATGTCCCAAATGAGAAAGGAAAATATAATTGGATATCATCAGTATAAAGTGCCAAAAACATAAAAGAAAGTCACCTGGTAGAGGAAAAAGCAATGCTCAAGTCTCTTCCACAGAAGTTACATATACACAAACTTCTTTTAACCTGCCCCTCTAGTCAATGACCCAGATGAGGGGGGTCCAGGCTGGTGGGAGAGGGGTGTCTCTAGTTCTACCAGACCTTTAAAACAGTTCATACCAAGAGGGCTTACAAGCAAAGGGCTGAGCAATTAGTACAAGTAGTATTTGAATGCTTAACGAAATCTTTGACTAAAAAATAAAAGGACCTGTAACAAGCCTTCTGGTTGATGCCTCAGTTGTAAAACCACTAAATAATTAAAGATTTGTAAAGAAAAGGAGTCTCTTCCAAATCTCTGGCCAAAAATTCCTCTAAAACTCTTCCCAGTGATTTATGACAGATCTTAGAATAACAGAATTATCTTTCCCATGAAGCCTACCTAGGGCATCCTCCTCCTTCCCATCTTCTACTTTCCCCAAACACAAACAGAAGTGCTCCTCCCTGTTCCTAATGTACTTTAGACATAACTCTATTAGAATTATGTCTCCATTGATTAGAGATACTCTCATTAGTATTGTGGTGTGATGATCTTTTCTGTCTCTAGGCTATCAATTCCTAGAGAGCCAGGACACTACTTTGGTCCTCTTTACATTTCCAATCCCTAATATTCAAACTTAACACCACTGAAAGTGTTGAGAAAGATTTGCTAAGTGAACAAAGAAGCTAGAGATGACCGAATACAGAGCAATCTTTATGATAAGGGATTTTTTTTTTATCTTCATATCTTCAGTATAGTCCACAAGTTCCCCTCCCTTTAGGAGTTTTTCCATCAGCTACTAGTCCAGGATGAATAATAACACAGACTATAATATCTTGAGAGTTGGAGAAAGAATCCAGCCATATTGGTTTGTAAGAGCCTTTAATGAACCAGGGAGAACTCAGCTCGAATAATCTGGAAGGTAGTCAAAACCTTTTAAGAGCTTTTATTCAAATATCAAGAGGCAGAATGGTATTTGAAATGCCTCCTTTTTACACTTATATCCTAAAGGAAACAGGGAAAATAAATAATTATAAATAAAAAAACTAACACTTACTAAGTAACCCCTTCATCCATTTCTACTTTTTCAGACAAAAAATTCCCTATCTAAAAACTATGGGTCTGGACACAGCCCTCAACCATGGGGAAGGCACTCTTCATATACTGGTATAAGTCTCCTTGGATCCCCCCTCTAATACCAGTTAGCCAAACCACTTTGGATATTATTCAATTAGGCAATCCCTTTAAGTAAAAATCTTTGGGTAAGGAAGTTCTCTCTCACATCAATTTAAGAAAATTCAAAATAATCTCCCAGTTTAATCTGTATTACACTGGAAAAAAAATCCCATCACATCTTTTACATGCCATTCTTTGGTTACCATGTTACCTTGGTTAGTGTCCTTTGGGTGTTCTATATGAGCAATGACTTCCTTGAGATAACTTTCCTTCTGCTTTTCTAGATCTGATTGTGAAAACGTCGGAACATTAGTCCTTGAACAAAGCAAACCAGGAGGAAAAACAGTTTATTAGAACCATGAGTATGGTGCTTTGCAGGGAGAAGTTATATACTGCTGATCAGTTAAAACTAACTTTCAGAAGCAAAAAGTCTTTAAGATCCAGTGACAGAAGACAGTATTAGTCACATAATAAAGCTGAAATAGAGTATGGAGGGAACAAAAAAAAGGGAAGATGTGAAATAGATACAACCTCTATAAACAAGGCATAAGAAAGTGAAGGTTACCTAGTCCCTAGAGAAAGAAAGCACTTATTGAGTCATTTAAGGTTAATCAGGACACAACTAACTTGACAGAGCCACAGAAAAACTGAATGAGATAAAGACCAAAAAGAACCAGCTGGATGTGGCAATCAGAACATTGGTGACCTTGACAAGAACAATGTTTGGCCCTTGCTCATCCTGATTGCATTGTACTATGGAGTCAGTGGATGAGAATATTGAGATAGTAAATACACAGCTGTTCCAAGTGGCCTAACTTGGCTCCTTGGTATAATTTGCATTGTAAGTCAGTCACAAAGTTTCCCTCAAATATGCAAATAAAACAAAAAACCAAAAACCCAAAAAACTGGGATTAGGGATAGTAGTCAAAGGGGACTTTAGCCTTATTTTAAATATATTTTTAAAAATTTAAAGCAGGGACACCTGGGTGGCTCAGTGGTTGAGCATCTGTCTGCCTTTGGCTCAGGGTGTGATCCTGGGGTCCAGGATGGAGTCCCACATCCAGTTCCCTGCAGGGGGCCTGCTTCATCCTCTGCCTGTGTCTCTGCCCCTCTCTGTGTCTCTCATGAATAAATAAATAACATCCTTAAAAAAAAATTTAAAGCAGACTTAGGATCTTTGTAATCAAAAAAAAATTTTTTTTAATCTCATTATAAGGAAGCTAGTCTGACTCAACCTAAAAAATAGCTTTCCTAATTAAGAAACCCATGTAGAGACACTGCCATCTTCTGGCAACAAGAGAACAGATTGAAAAGGTACCCATATCTGCAACCTCCACTAGAATATTTCCCCAAGGACAGTTGTACTCCAGTTGGGAGAGATGACAAAAGTATTTTCTACATAATTGTATTTTAATATTTTTGTTAAAATTATGCTAACCTCCTGTCATATCTGTGACCAGGCTTCCCCCACACAGAGGAAAAGCAATTTTACATTTACACAGTGCTTTCAAATATGTCTTTTTTACGTTTTCAAAATAACCTTGCGGAGGCAGCAGAGAAGGCTTCATTAGTCTCGTTTTGTTGACAAATAAATTGGAAGTCACAGATCATTTGACTTGTCCAAGGTCACACAGCTACATGTTAGTGGTCCCAGAACTTAAAAGTACGTTTATACCTGTTTTTGTTTTTTTTCTACACTAAGGGAAAACTGAGGAGGGGAAGAAAGATATTGAAGAGAATCAATAGAGACCGGAATATTATCATACTGTTACCTTCTTTTGGCTTGCAGAACAGGAATGACTTTGCCCAGTCTTCTCTCATTGACTTTCAGTTTCCCAGAATCCTTGTCAAGAACATCCTGCTTTCATTCAGAGTAGAAGGAAAGATAATTATAAGGAAAAAGCTGACAACACTATTTATGGACATATTCTTAAACTAAAGGCTAGAGAGGCATATTCTTGAACCCTCCTGTGTGCTAGGCACTATGACAGATGCTTTAAGTGACATAGTGACTGCAATTTTAAGGAAAAGAAAGAAAGAAATTCTAAGTGGTACGCCCATTGAATAGAGAGGGAATCAGGCTCAAAGGGGTTAAGTAAATTGCCCAAGATTTTTCAGCTCTTCAGTAGCTGATCAGGTGCTGTATCTCATTTAGCATGGCAACCAAAGATTGAGATTTTAAGCTAAAACCTAAAGAAAGGAAATAGAATAGTAAAATCACCATTATCTTAGTAATTATTCAGTAAGTAGTAATTTTATATACCAGTTACTATAAATATATTATTTCATTAATCCTTTCTATACTATGAAGCATTTATTTAGTATAATTTATAGGGAAGAAATATGACAAAATGCGGAGGCTAAATAATTTTCCCAAGTTCATAGTTCTAGTTGGGACCTAAATCCCAATTTGTTTGATGAATACAAAGCTCTGCTATATAGCTTATGAACGAAAATAATTTTTCTCTTTACCTTGAAAAAATATACTTACTTTGTTTGATGAACTGGAAACAACTGGAAACCTCACTTCACAATTTGATTTATGTGATCCATTTTTCCAGGATGACCCCGTATTAGGAGTCTCTGAATGGTCTAAGATCTGAGAGAATACAGGTGTAGGTCTCTTACTGTCAGGCATATTTTTATCAGACGCAGTTTGTTCAAAGTCATTGTCTGAAGAAGAGAGTGGGGGCGCATCCCAAGCAGAATTACTGGGACTGATCCCTTCAGACTCACTGCAGGGTTTGCTCTCATTTGGACTAAGACCACCTTTTCTCATCTCTTCCCCAAGGGAGGAGGGTTTTTCAGTATCTTTGGATGAATCAGTCTTGTCCTTATCAAGCACAGCATCACAAACTGTTGGATCAAATGGTGCAACAACTGTTATTTTTATAAGATTCTTTTCTAGTGCAAAGTGTCTGTTTAATGGTTTAGTAGGAGTTGGTCCATTACCAACTGATGTGCTTAGTTGAGGTAGTTTTAAGAGGCCAGGGGTCTCGGCTACTGGTCCCAAGCTGTACAATGAATTTTTCTCTTGGGAAGTGTCCAATAGAATTTCATTCCCTTTCCCTCCCTTCTCAACATGCCTATTATCTTTAAGCAACACTCCTCCCCAAGAAAAGTGCTCATTTGATAGGTCATCATCCTTCAGGAGCTCCTGAATATCTTCCTCTGTGAAACTGAAATGGCCATCATCTTCTTCTCCCTCAGACAGATCCAGCAAGGAGTCATCCAATCCATCCTCATCCAAGGAACCCCAAGAAAATGGGGCATTGTCTTTAGGCAAGAGAGAAGTTCCAGAAGACTGTTCAGAGGGCACTAGTGAGCACGTCATATCTGGAAAAAGAAGAGGCAATTTCACTGAGGAACAGGAAATACCCTTATATCAACTTCTATTTGTTTTACAGTAGTGATATCCTGATATTTTGAATTCTTTGCACTGTGACTTGTAAGATGAGAAATAATTTTAAGATATTTAACCTTACTAGAATCATGGAAATACACATTAGAATAATTACATACTTTTTTTCTAACAAAATAGTGAAAATTAAGATGTCATAGTATCTAAGTTGGTATGGGTATAGGAAATAAGCACCCTTACACACTATCAGCATAAGAGTGTTAAGTCAGCACAATATTTTGTGGAGAGTAACTTGCAATACCATTTGACCCACAACTTCAATTCTGTGAATTTTTCCCGCAGCAATATCTACACAAATGCACATGGATACATTTATAAGAATGTTCAAAGCAGCATTACTCAAAATTGGAGACAATCTAAATCCATCCATGGACTTAGACAGTCTAAGTCCATCACCAGAACTGCTCAGGAAAATAATGGTACATTCATACTATGGAATACTTTACAACTATTTTAAACATAATGAAATAGGTCAGCATATACTATCACGGATGGAATGATATCCACAACATACAAACAAAACAAATATATATTATGTAAAGTGTTTGGATGTATAGAAATGTATAGAAAAACAAATGTATAATTTGAAATTAGAAAAAAAAAAGTTTAAGAATACAAGAATTGTCTTCCATACTGTGTGGAGCTGCTGGTGTGATCTCTTTGCCACGAGACCAAATGGAAAAAGGTTTCAGCTCCCGCTAGCTGTTCCTTTCAGGAGACTTGTCAAAATGATTGACTCCCACCTTCCTGCAGGCACAAAGAAAATTAGAGGATCTTCTCATCACTTTCAACTCTGCTAATTACAAAGTCAACTGTATTATGCTTTAAGGTGCTCCACCTATTAATTTTGATCTTGATTTTTTTTTTTAAATACCAGAAAGTTGGATTTTGAGTCAAGAACATCAAAGAAAAACCTTTAGAGGAAAAATTATGCAACTAAGGAACTAGTTTTGTTCCTCCCAACAATTTTGTACTTTCTTCAGAATATCATTGCTCCAAAGATGAATACTGGCTTGGGAGTACTGAGACATTGCTTGCAGTCCTGGTTCTGTCACTAACCAGCTGCAATTAGTTGGGTAAGCCACTTAACCATTTGGACTTGTTTCCTCATTTATAAAATGGGGACAGGATGGAGAAGGGGGACTAGGCAATGTCTAAAAGTCCACCAAGATCTACTAGTTAATCATGATCACACATGCTAAAGTCTCATTTTCAATTTATATAATAAATGCAAGAACAGATCCAGAAAAATATAAACACAAAACTGATGACTATTATATCCTATGAGGGGACCTAGAGCTATCAAGGGGAGACTTCAGGGTCATTCTACTTTTCTACTTGAATATTTGTATATTACTTTAAAACCTAGCTTTTAAACAGTCAATGATGGACCTAATCTAAATTATTTTCTAGGGCAGCTGGGGGGTGCTCAGCGGTTTAGCACTGCCTTCAGCCCAGGTCATGATCCTGGAGACCCGGGATCCCAGCATGGAGCCTGCTTCTCCCTCTGCCTGTGTCTCTGCCTCTCTCTCTCTCTGTCTCCCATGAATAAATAAAATCTTAAAAATAAATAAATAATTTTCTAGATAGGAAAGGTGATAAAAAACTCCTATTTCACATATCATGTCAACATCTGAGAAGCTGTAAGAAATGCTTAAACATTAAACTTAATAATTTGGAAAATTCCTTATTAGCATTCTAACTGTAAATTTCCCCCCACCCCACTTTCCCTCCATATCCTGAATTTTATATTTATTTCATGCATTCTTTCAGAAAACATTTTCTGAGCTAATATCATCATATAGCACTGAACAAGATAATATGTTTCTATAGGACTTCTTAAAAATAAAGATATGGTTTCCACCATTAAAGAATATATAATGCAGCTCTCTGGGTGGCTCAGTTAAGTGTCCAACTCTTGATCTCTGCTCAGGTCTTGATCTTGTGGTTGTGAGTTTGAGCCCCACATTTGGCTCCATGCTGGGTGTGGAGCCTACTTACAAAAATGTATAATCCTCCTAGGGAGATAACATTGAAAGTTATGCACCAATATGAGAAAACAAAATGGTATGGACAATAAAGTACTGGAGAAAGAGAAGGAAAGGAGAGGGATTATAGAACTTTAGAGTTAGGATTTATATAATGTATAACATGGTGACTATAGTTAACCATACTGTATTTTATATTTGAAAATTGCTGAGAGAGTAGATTTTAAAAGTTCTCATCATGAGAAAAAAATTGTAACTATGTGAGGTGATGTATGATAACTTCTCTTACTGTGGTAATGATTTAGTAATATGTACATTTATCATTATATCATATGTCTTAAACTAATATGCACTATTATACATCAATTTTATCTCAATAAAACTGGGAGATAAGTAAATAAAAAATTTTAAAAAGAAACTTAAATTTACTCATCTTATGAGATGGGAAAGAAATATTAAGTACCTATTATAAATCAGGCACTGTGAAACATTTTAAAACTTCGAATTTAACTCCTCAACATAACTCTGTAACATAGACCTTACCAAATAAACTAAGCTTTCTGTTGTATTTAAACTTAGGCTGCTAAGACTTTTTATCTTATTTTACCAATATTCCAGCATTGTATGAGAGAGTTCCAGGTACTGCAGGCATTGAAGTAGGTGCCTCTATGAAGAGAAAAGTAATTTTCTCTGCCCAGTGACTGGATTATTTTATATTATTTCTTTAGGCTGCACTAAGAAAAATTCTACTTAAAGTTTTAGGTGTCAAGCACAAGTATCACAGGCACTGAAGTTAAGGACCTATATTTCTGAAAAGCCCTTTCTGAGTCACTATCCCCACTCTCATCCAAACTCCTTCCAAAAAGTCTAGTTCAAGCAGCTGGCATGAGCAAATGAAGAGTTCAATAAATGTTCACTCTTAGGAACTAAAGTTAAGAGGCACTAAGTCACTTTAACAAGCACACAGACCGGGATCCCTGGGTGGCGCAGCGGTTTAGCGCCTGCCTTTGGCCCAGGGCACAATCTTGGAGACCCGGGATCGAATCCCACGTCGGGCTCCCGGTGCATGGAGCCTGCCTCTCCCTCTGCCTCTCTCTCTATCATAAATAAATAAAAATTAAAAAAAAAAAAGCACACAGACCAATTAATACTAGAACAAGGATCCAAACCCAGTTCTAATTCCAAAGGTAATGTCTTTTCTGCTACCCTTGTCATTGATTTGCCCAGGGTTGGTTAGCAAATGGCAGAGCCTTCTAATTTCAGTACACTCTCTAATATACTATGAAAGATAAAGATACTGAAGAGGGCTTTGATCCCTTGGCAAAAATAATTTAAGTCACTTTATTATACACAGGCTTCCCTTGAATTCCCAGGGAAGAACATGAGAAATGTGGCCAAGTCTCACTGGAAGAAAAACATCATTACTTGCAAACTTGACTATATACACATGACCGATATCCTTCATAGCAAGTGAAAGAATTCCTACATAACAACCAGAGGCACAGAGCTGGCTTTCCTGAGCTTTCAGGGAATGTTCCAACATGCTTGGGAGCAAAAGCATGCAAAACAATACAATTTTTACCTTGTACAAATCATTCTCTCCACAATTTTAATTCCTCATTTAAGAAAATGCCTTTTATTACACATAACTTAAAGGATATACAAAAATAACAGTATAACAAACCCCACATGCCTATCACTCAGCCCCAACAACTATCAACCTATAGCAAATCTTGTCCCATCTACTCCTCCACTTTACTGGATTATACAGAAGCAAATCCCAGGTACCACATCATTTCACCTGTAAGTAACAAGGATTCCTTACGATAAAATACATGGTTCGGGTATCCCAATTATTTTATACATCTTACTTTTAAGGATTAAAAAAAATCAGCATCCAAATAAATCTACACACTACAACTGGCTGATATGTTTTATATTCTAATCTATAGATTCCTCATCTTTTTTCTTGCAATTTGTTAGAGAAACAATACCATATAGTGTATGGATACATATATGTATCATTAAATTATAAAAACGTGCATGGGAATAAGAAGCTCAAAATTCAGGATAATGGTTACCTCTGGTGGTGGAGAGGGGAAGAGAAATGGCAAGGAGGCATGATTAACTTCAATTATATCTGTAATGTTTCATTTCTTAAATTTTTTTTAAAGACCTATATGAAAGATGCCAAGGGGTATCTGGCTGGGACTCCTGACCCTGAGGTTGTTTGAGCCCCATATTGGGCACATAGAAATTACTTTAAAAATAGATATACGTGGCAGGGCGCCTGGGTGGCTCAGTTGGTTAAGCAACTGTCTCTTGATATCAGCTCAGGTCTCAACCTCAGTGTTTTGAGTTCAAGCCCTGTGCCGGGGCTAAAAGGGGGGAGGGAGGAGCAACATAATGAGACAGAGAAACCATGTTAGAAAGATTCCATTTCTCCTGTTTCTCTAAGTCCCACTTACTCATGTTCTATATTTTGCATCTGAGTAAAACAAAGCTATGTTGCCCCTCTAAGGGGAGACAAGAAAGTTAATCGTTCTCTAAGTTCTATCCTAGGCTCCAAACACCTGATAACATCCAAGAACCAGATCCCAAACATGTTCTTAGACATTAGCTTCAAACAAACCATGGCTGACACTGGCACCCTACCTTCAGTGATAAATGTTATAACACCTATTGATCACCTGACACTCACCTTTGGTCAGAGGCTACCTTGGGTTCCTGAATATTTACCCCGGATCTCTTTCCAATATAAATCCACAACCTCAAGTGACAGAGAGACTTTTCATTTCCCGGGTCTCCCAGACAGTTCATCTGTTATACTCTATCACACTATTCAATGAACTCTGCTCACTTGCTCCTGGTTCCCATTTGATTTCCATCCTGTGTGAAGCCAAGGACCCTGTCAGCTGGTATCTGAGAGACCCCTTCAGATTCAGCCTGCCTACATCAATAAGATAAAGCTGAATGATGTATATAATGGTATCATTACGTTATTTCCGATAAATTCATATGTTTAAAATATTTAATAATAGGGACGTCTGGGTGGCTCAGCAGTTGAGCGTCTGCCTTCAGCTCAGGGCATGATCCCAGGATCCCGGATAGAGTCCCTCGTCGGGCTCCCTGCGGGGAGCCTGCTTTTCCCTCCACCTATGTCTCTGCCTCTCTCCCTCTGTCTCTCATGAATAAAATAAATCTTTAAAAAAATTAATAATAAAAATATTTTAAAATTAAGAAGTCAGCAGAGAAAGGCAATTATTACATTCTGTAGTTTCAAATGTCCTCTCCTATACAATAGGGATCATCACAGGAGCTACCTCAACGTGTTGCCAGAATTAAATGAGACCATGAACATAAACCACTTATTACTGCAAGCACAATGGAAAAGCTCAGTAAGTAGTGGTTATAGTTTCTACTTCACCCCACCAGCATCACCTCTGCCCTCTAAAGTCTTAACGAAGCATAGCAATGGCAAGAAAGAATACTAATCTAGTTCCTTGCTTGTTAAGAAATAGTATACTCTAATCTCTTCTAATTTAACCAAGCATTCAACCATATTGCCACTGAATTAAAGGCCAGGCTGTGTGGACATCTAAAGTATCAGGCAGGGGCAGTCCAGGTGGCTCAGCGGTTTAGCGCCTCCTTCAGCCCTGGGCCTGATCCTGGAGACCCAGGATCCAGTCCCTTGTCCGGCTCCCTGCATGGAGCCTGCTTCTCCCTCTGCCTGTGTCTCTGCCTCTCTCTGTGTGTCTCTCATGAATAAATAAATAAAATCTTTAAGAAAATAAAAATAAATAAATAAAAATATATCAGGCAAATCCTTTGAATTAATAGTTACTGAAGTATCCTGTATAGAGGGACTGAACTAAAATTCAGAGACCTCACAAGTCACTTAAAGTCTCTGGACCTCAATTCAGATGAGAACACTCATCTGAAAAATGGGGGATAATTATACGCTGTTAACTTGAAACAGAGATTATCATGAGAATCAAATGAGGGGATGTTCACAAAAGTATTCTAAACCTAAAAGCCATATACTAATGAAAGTTGATATTTAATGAATTTGCAAGAGGGTGGGAAAAAATCTCAGATAAAATTAAGTTCTAAAGTGAAGTTCCATAAGACAGCCTCAGCACTTCTCTACCATTTTACCGTTAACTGCCTTTCTTGGCACTTGCTTTGTAACTTCCACCTAAAATGAGGATCTCTTTAAGGGAGGAATATTTTTCCCATCTCCCAAGTCTATCTCTTAATTCTTCTGCTCCCCATCCCTTCTGTGACCCTATTCTGTCCTTCCACATCTCTCTCACCTGTCCACCCCCTTCTTCACACTTCAGTTTACCACCCCCTCGCCCTGTTCTCTAACCACCTAGCTGCAACCTCAGAAACTGGTTCCCTTGCTATTTTTATCCTACCTAAGAAAACCTATTGCCTTAGAACACGAAGTCTTATTTTATTCAGGCCACTAAAATTGCAACACCAGATACAATCCCATATTCCTTTCAAGGTTCTAAAACCAAGACCATTACCAAGCTAGATCTGATATGAATGGCCAAGGGCAAAGATTATTTCCAAGCCTTTGATTTCCAACCTTCTCCACAGGTAAGGCGGCACATAGCACAAAAGACACTCACTCACTAGGCTTTTATCACTCCTTAAAAATGGGCATAACATTTAAACAAAATCAAAGTGAACTGGAATTATCTGTAAGAATTCTGCAACTTCCTTTGAAATGGAAATACTACTGTAGGACAGAAAAACCACCTGGGGTGGAAATCTCTGCTTTAGCTGAACATTTCACTAGATATGGATTCCAGGACCCTCATCTCACGGGGGCACAGAAACTAAATACTACTAAGCTGCAGCAACAGGTTTCTTTTTAAAAAGGAAAGGTTTCAAAAATAATTTAGACAGGATTGCTAAAGCTTGCAGCCTCTCACAAACCCACAAGAAACTGGAGATCAGCAGGTGGGCAATTAAATCACTTCTTTCCCCTCTCCGGGGGTCAACCCGGCGGTGCCAGCAGCCTTCCCTCGGGCCCAGGCAGGAACCGGTGGCACCTCCAGCCCTGAGAGCCAAGAGGAAGGGTAACCCAAGTCCACCCTCCGTAGAATACTGCTTGGGCTCCCCCCTGCTCTCCCCTCGAAATGCGACGGCCTCAGAACGGCTTCGCCCTCGGGGCTGGGCCTTCGCACTTCCCTACTCCCTCCCCCCAAAATACCAAGAATTCCCGCCTCCCCGCGGAAGGCGGGAGAAGCGCGGGCTTGCTCCCGCCCCTCCCCCCGCAGGGGCCCAACTGACCCCCTCAGCAGGCCTGCGTGGTGCACCCCTCCCCCCGAGGGTGGTCACTCACACCCACAACTCAGCGGGACCGCGGCCGCGCCAGCCCTAGGGGTGGGTCATCCTCTCCCTCCCCCACCCGCCAGCCACGGCGGGAAGAGCCGCGATCCTCTCCCCAGCAACAGCCCCCCCTTGGGGCCGGGACAGCGGCACCGCCAGCGCCCCCGACACACTCCTCCTCCTCCACCCTCGCTGGGCAGGGAGACTGACGGAGGTCCGGGCCTCGCAGGTGACCCGACAGCCTTCCTCTTCCTCATCTACCGCCCGCCGACGTGGAGGTGGGGCGCAGGGACACTCCCCCTCCCGCCGCCATCACCTGAGGAACGACAACCAGCCCTCTCCCAGCAGGGCAAAGGCCTCCCAACCCTTCAACGGGGTGGACGGGCATGTACGGCCCCCTGGAGAAGCAACAGGCGCCCCCATCCCCCTCCCAGCCGGGAACGAAGACCCCCTCATCCCTCCCGCTCTTCACCTCCGGAAGCGGGGCCGAAGCCTGGGCGAACGACTGCGCCTCACTCCGCCCCCTGCGCCATTTTATCGCCCCCTCCCCGACCTCCCCCACCCGCGGCTGCCGGGCCAGCGCAAGGGGGCGGGCAAACGGGCAGTGATTGGCAGGAAGCCACCCCGCCCCTCGTGGGGTTGTGCCCCGCGCAGGCGCCGCAACCCCGCCCTCCGTACCGCCTCGCCTGCCTACTGGCTCCGCCCCTTTCCCGTCTCATCGACCCACTCGACTCTCAGTTGCTCCGGACTCTCCTCGCCACTTTCAGGCGAAGGGTTCAGGCCGAGCAAGCCGAGCGACGAGTTCAGCTGATGCAACCTAACTCGGCCCGCGTGACAGTTCCCGGCACGCGGCGGCGGCGGCGACCGAGGAAGCGGCGCGGTGCCGGGCTAAGCGCGGGAGATAGGGGCGGCGGAGCCATGGGGGACGCTCCGAGCCCTGAAGAGAAGCTGCACCTTATCACCCGGAACCTGCAGGTCGGGCCTCAGGGTTGGAACTACGCTGTTGGGGGGGACTGGGGGCTCGAGGTCCAGTGACCCTGAGCCACTGTCGGGTCCTGAGTGTGTAGGGTCGGGGGACTCCGCTCTCCGGCAGCCCAGAGACTACAGCCCTCGCTGCTGGTTGGTCGGTCGGTCAGCCAGTCAAGCCGCGATATCTCGGTCGCACAAAAATGACACTGGGCCCACCTCCTCTGTGCAGTTACCTTGTGTTGGTCGAGCCTTGAATCCAGGACTCCCACCCCACCCACCCTATTATGTGCCAGGCGTGGTGCAAGGCACTGGGGATACGTCAGGGCCCTGCCCTCCCAGGGCTTGTCTGGAGGGAACTGGACGTTAAGAAAGACCCCCTAATTCGAAAACTTGGTTACATTTTGAAACAAGTACTGCAAAGTACTATCCGTGGGGCTTTGGAAAGAATTTAGGGGCGAGGACTGGAGGGAGTGTCAGGGAAGGCTGAGGAAGTAACCTCGAAACTGCGCCTAGAGGATGCAAATCACTTCCCTCCACATCTGTTCTTACAGTCTCCGGGAACTGCAGGAGTAGAAGTTAACCTGAAGAAGAGTGAGTTGGGGGGTCATTTTAGGTAGAAGAAGCCAAGTCAAGACCTAGAGCGGAGAAAGAACACTGGTTCAGAGAGAAGGCTAATTTGGCTGGAGTAGAGTGAGCAAAGTGCAGATCAAATATTAATAAATATTTATATTGCTCCTTTCCTTACCTCTTTCTGGCCTCTGACTATTGTCACAATATAGAGAAGGCCTTTCCTGATGACTTTATTTAAATAACAAACCCCCTGCCACCAGAACTGTCTCATTTCCTCTATAGCCTTTTTCACTGTTGTCTGTCTGCTGAAGGTACCACCATCTGATACTATGTGTTTTACTTGTTTGTTGAAAAAGAGTAGGCAGGAACCAGGTCATGAGGGCCTTTCAGGCTGTGTTTAAAAGTGAAGTTTATTCTAAGAGCAGTGTATACACGTTGGTTAGGCCACAGCTTGGGGTTTTTTTTGTTTTGTTTTGTTTTTAATCCTTTTTTGAGATACAATTCACGTACCAAAAAATTCATCCCTTTAAAGTGTACATTTTGGGGTGCCTGGGTGCCTCAGTTGGTTAAGCATCTGCCTTTGGCTCAGGTCGTGATCCCACCGTCCTGAGATTGGCCCCCTTGCATCAGGCTCCCTGCTTGATGGGCACCCTGCTTCTCCCTCTCCACCACTCGTGCTCTCTCATGCTCGTGCTGTCTCAAATAAATAAGTTAAATCTTAAAAAGAAAAAGAAAAAGTGCATTTCTGTGGGTTTTTGTATAGTCACAGGATTGTACAGTTAGCACCACTATCTGATTCCAGAACATTTTCATCACCAAAATAAAACCTGTACCCATTTGACAATCACTGCCCATTTCCCCCCTCCCTGCAGCCCTAGGGGAACACTAATCTACTTGCTGTCTTTAATCTGCCTATTCTGAACATTTCATATGAATAGAATCATGTAATGTGTGGGTTTTCTGTCTCATTTCTTTCACTTAGCATGCTTTCAAGTTTCATCCATGTTGTCACATCTCTCAAAACTTTATTCCTTACGGCTGAAAAATATTTATGATTATATGAATATATTAGATTTTGTTTCTACATTCATCAGTTGGTGGACATTTGGGTTCTTTCTACTCATAACTTGATCTTATCGAGTAATTTTTACGTGCTTCCTCTTAGCCAGATTCTTTATCCTAGTCTTTTTCCACAAAAATAATGCTGGTTGGGGACAAAAGATACAAAAAGCTAATGGTGTTGACTCTGGTTTTAAAGGGTAAGTGATGTGACCTTTCCTTGAGTGGCAAGAATTCCCCCAAGTTCCAAATAGTCAGGGGCTTGGAAGTGCAGGATCCAGACTCCAGCTGCCTCGAAACAGATTTTAACAAGTCCTGCTAATAGATGATTCAATCCAGCAAAACAGTTTCTGCCTTTCATGGCTTCTAACAGCCTCCCCAAACTATCACTTGAAGAATCACTAAAATCTCTTTTATTAGCAGCATACTGAGCTATTAGGATTTTTCCAATATTGTCTTCCAGCAAAAGGAAACCATTAAAGTATTAAATAGGTGAATGAGTTAATCAAGTTTTGCATTTTAGAGATCTCTCTGACTACCTTCTGGAACATGGACTGGAGGGAGCAAGAATAGATAACAGGAGTCCTATTAGGTGGGTAGTAGTAGGTCCTGGTGGGATCTGATAGTGACCTAGACTAGGGTGGTGGTATGGAGGCAGAGAGAAGGAGGAGGATTTAGGTAGGAGCTTTGGGGTAACTTTGGCAACTTGGTAAATGACAGTACCATTTACTGCACTTGGGTGAAACTGTAAGTGAAAAAGATGGGTGGGGAGTGAGGCGGGAAGGTGAGAGCAGGAGGTTAATTTCGAACAAGTTGATTTTGAATTAACTGGGTTGATAACAAGTACATTGTTCCATATATGGATGTGAGCAGGAGACTTGGTAGTTACTAACTTATAAGTAATAATTGAAGAAGTGAAAGGGATCAGTTAGGGAGAATGTAAAGAGAAGAGAGAGGGCTGCAAGGATTGCTAATATTTAATGATTAGGAAGTACAGCTGCAAAGGAAGCTGAAACAGCAGCCAGAGAAGCAGGAGGAAAACTTAAGAGAATAGAAAAATGAAGGACCAAAAGAGGGGAGTATTTAGGGATGGAGTGAGAAAGTGAGGACTAAAAAATTTTCATTGAGGGATGGCTGGGTTACTCAGCGGTTGGGCATCTGCCTTTGACTCAGGGCGTGATTCCAGGGTCTGGGGATCGAGTCCCACTTCGGGCTCCCTGCATGGAGTCTGCTTATCCCTCTGCCTATGTCTCTGCCCCTCTCTCTCTCTGTCTCTCATGAATAAATAAATAAAATATTTTTTAAAAATTTAAAAAATTAAAAATTTTCATTGAATTTAGCAACAATGGGAGTCATCTGTGATCTTAGCCAGAGCATTTTCAGTGGTGTGATGCTGTATGGAATTCAACTGGAGTGGGAGATGAGTAATAAAGACCAGAAGAAGTGACAGGTATTTCAAGAATTGTCTCTGAAAGGAAGGAACATGAGTTCTAGTGGATGGAGGGGAAGATGCAGGTAGGGACATGTCCCATTCCCTAACATCAGTGGCATATCACTGGAGTGGTACTAGCAACAGCACCAACTTAGGCTGGCTCTCCCTCAGCACTGTGAACATGGCTGGACCTCCCTCCTGGCTCTGACCTTAGACCCTCAGTGACACATGCCTTTGTTTGCCTTGTCACAAGGTAAAGGATGAGCAAGGTGGGGCACCAGCATTAAACCAGCTCTTCTGCTTCCACAACAGGAGGTTCTAGGGGAAGATAAGCTGAAGGAGATACTCAAGGAGCGGGAACTTAAAGTTTACTGGGGAACAGCAACCACAGGCAAGCCACATGTGGCTTACTTCGTGCCTATGTCTAAGATTGCAGACTTCTTGAAAGCAGGATGTGAGGTAAGAAATAATGTTCTAGGGATCCCTGGGTGGCACAGCGGTTTGGCGCCTGCCTTTGGCTCAGGGCGCGATCCTGGAGACCCGGGATTGAATCCCATATCGGGTTCCCGGTGCATGGAGCCTGCTTCTCCCTCTGCCTGTGTCTCTGCCTCTCTCTCTCTCTCTCTCTGTGACTATCATAAATAAATAAATTCAAAAAAAATTTTTAAAAAACAAAAAGAAATAATGTTCTATAAACAAGCATTCCTTGGGGAATGGCCAAAAAAGAGATTTAACAAGGGCAGGGCAGAGAGGCGGGTTCGGAGGTACTTGGACAAATTTACATTTGGTGGTGCCTTATCTCTTAATGTCCAGGTAACGATTCTGTTTGCGGACCTTCATGCATACTTGGATAACATGAAAGCTCCATGGGAACTTCTAGAACTCCGAACCAGCTACTATGAGAATGTGATCAAGGCAATGCTGGAAAGCATTGGTGTGCCCTTGGAAAAGCTCAAGTTCATCAAAGGCACTGATTACCAGCTCAGCAAGTAAGTTCTAAATCATCCACGCTCCTTGTGACTCTTGTGCTCCTAACTAATTACAGGTCTGTGGAATTTAGGCACTCCTTAAATTTGGATTCAGAAGTGCTTTGGCCCTACCAATTAAAAACTATTAAAAAATTTATATTCTTTGCCCTTTTAAGTCATCCATCAAAAATGTACTGACTAGTAAATGCCTGTGTACTATCCATTTTGCTAGAGATAAGAATGTAGCCAAAACAAAGTCCTTGGCCTTGCAGAGCCCACATCATATGGGAGAAAGATGATAAACAATTCAGCTCCCTTCTTCCTTCCAGCCTCAGCAAATAATGATCAAAGAAATGTGAAAGTGGGATCTCTGGGTGATTCAGTGGTTTAGCGCCTACCTTTGGCCCAGGGAATGATGCTGGAGTCCCGGGATCAAGTGCCACATTGGGCTTCCTGCATGGAGTCTGTTCTGCCTCTGCCTGTGTCTCTGCCTTTCTCTCTCTGTGTCTCATGAATGAATGAATGAATGAATGAATGAATATATAAAAAAATAAGAAATGTGAAAGAAAAATATTTTACTTGTTTCTCACCTCCCCAACAATTTATTGTTTCATATCTTTATTAATTTTATTCACATTTGTAATATTAGCATAGATACGATTTTGTGTTCTGATTTTTTTAACTTCAGTAATTTCCTAAATAATTCCTCCATGCTACCTCATAGTCTTCACATTGTTTGACTTTTAAAACCTCAGTTAAGCCATGCATCACTACTGGTCACTTTTTCACGTAAACCCTTAGAACAACTTTTTAAGGTAAGCATTGGTGTGTCCTATTTCACAGATAAGGAAACAGATTCAGATGTAACTTTCTCAGGTTTGTACTTGCGGTAAACAGAAGAGCCAGGATGTGAACCCAGATCTCTTGCCTACAAGTTCATTTTTCTTTTTTAACTTCATTGATCATAATTATCTTTTGTTTTTGTTTTTTTAAGATTTATTTATTTATTTATTTATTTATTTATTTATTTATTTATTTATTTATTTATGATAGACAGAGAGAGAGAGAGAGAGAGGCAGAGACACAGGCAGAGGGAGAAGCAGGCTCCATGCAGGGAGCCCGATGCGGGACTCAATCCCAGGATTCCAGGATCGTGCCCCGGGCCAAAGGCAGGAGCTAAACCCCTGAGCCACCCAGGGATCCCTATCTTTTGTTTTTTTAAGATTTTATTTATTTATTTGAGAGAGAACAAGCGAGTGGGTTGGGAGAGGAGCAGAGGGAGAGGGACAAGCAGACTCTGCACTAAGCACAGAACCCGATGCGGGCTTGATCCCACAACCCCGAGACTATGACCTGAGCCAATACAATGAGTCGGCCAATTAACCAACTGAGCCACCCAAGCACCCCGATCATAATTTTCTTTAGCATTCCTCACTGTTGGACATTTAGAGTTTTATTTTTTTTTAATTTATTTATTTAGGATAGTCATCAGAGAGAGAGAGAGGCAGAGACACAGGCAGAGGGAGAAGCAGGCTCCATGCACTGGGAGCCCGACATGGGATTCGATCCGGGGTCTCCAGGATTGCGCCCTGGGCCAAAGGCAGGCGCCAAACCGCTGCGCCACCCAGGGATCCCCATTTAGAGTTTTAAATAAGGCACATAACTTTCTTACATAAACAGGTGTTTGAATCCACAGCCTCAGTAGAGTGCCTGCAATTTCATTTATTTTTAAATTTGTTCTACAGATATTATGGAGCACTTATTAGATGGTAAGCACCATCTAGGTCCTGGGTATACAAAAATAAATGAAAACAAAAACCCCTATCGTAATGGGGCTTACATTTCAGCAAAGGAATATGGCCAAAGGAAACAAATGAAAAGTAATCTATCTATCTATCTATCTATATATGTATATATCAATTACTTTATATGTGTGTGTGTATACACACACACAGTGTCAGATGGTGACAGGTGCTACAAAGCAGGCAGGCAGAGGAGAGAAAGTTCTTTTTTTTTTTTTTTTTTTTTTTTTTTTTTTTTTTTATGATAGTCACACAGAGAGAGAGAGAGAGAGAGAGAGAGGCAGAGACACAGGCAGAGGGAGAAGCAGGCTCCATGCACCGGGAGCCCGACGTGGGATTCGATCCCGGGTCTCCAGAATCGCGCCCCGGGCCAAAGGCAGGCGCCAAACCGCTGCACCACCCAGGGATCCCCTAGGAGAGAAAGTTCTTGAGGAGTGGGGGGTTTCTATGTAGATAGGGTGGCTAGAGAAGACCTCCATGATAAGAAGATATTAGACTGAGACCTGAAGGTAAGGGATTGAGTCATGCAAACACTTACTGAGTTTTTACTGTGTGCCAGATTCTGTTCTAGGTACTGGGATTATAACAGTAAATGATTCAGGGAAGGCTTTTATTCTCCCAGAACTGAACAGAATTTGGGGTATGGGAAGATGGGATACATAAAGCTACCTTACTTCAAAGTGACTTCAAAGGAAGATGGCTTTGTAAGTATACACTTTGATATACTACCTCGGCTCTAAACAACAGCAATGATAGATAAATACATTAAAGAAACAGAGGACCTAGCCAGATTCAAAAGACAAGCATAACATCTCTGAGGTAAGAGAAACAGAACTGAAATGCAAATTGGTGAGTTGGGCTCAAGTTACAGGTTTGCTGGGCTCTAATCAGGAAGCCAATGGTGGAGACAAACCAGGCTTACTGCTTAAAGCCAGAGGATAAAGTAGGGCTTTTACCCTTTTCTCATTCCCATTCCTACCCCTCAAGGAAAGTAGAGCCAGGGAGTGGGGGCACTATTAGTCACGTGCTTGGGTCATTAGGGACTTTTATCAAGCTTTGGCCTGTTGGAGACTCAGCTGTATGCATACCAAGAATTAAACCAAGCTGCCCACCGTGTTATATCCAAACCAAACCGCCATGAGTGTTATATCCATGATATTACCAAAAAGACATAAGTTCTAACATGCCAAGCAATAGCATCCATGTTTTAAAAAGAAATGATAGAAGAGAGAGAGGCAAAAATGAAACATGAATATATAGAAATAAAAAGAATCATTTAGAAATCTTGGAAATGTAAAACTCAGTCATTAAAGCCAAACCAAACCAAACAAGAAAACACTACAGGGGCACCTGGCTGGCTTAGAAGAGCTCATGGCTCTTGATTTCAGGGTTGTGAGTTCGAGCCCCACGTTAGGTGGAGACATTATAAACAAAACACAATTATAAATAATATTATAAACTTTAAAACAAAAAAGCAAAAAAACCCACAAACTGACTTTGATAGATGGCATCAACTCTAGACTGAACAAAGTTGAAGAGAAAACTGTAGATGTGAGAGATAGTACTAAGAGATTCACCCAGAATGCAACCCAGAGAGATGGACAAAAAAACTGTAAGAGTATTTGACATGTAAATAAGAACTTTTTGCTTCCAGCAGTCTGGCACAGTGGGTATTCTAACCAGACCTACTATGGGAAACAATTAAAAATGCTGGATAAAATATTTTTTAAACTTTCTGAATGCTTCAAATCAGTCAGTTGATAAATTAGTCAAGAATACTCAGTGGCACATAGAAAACCCAAAAGCCTCCACCCCAAGATTGCTAGAACTCATACAGCAATTTGGTAGCGTGGCAGGATACAAAATCAATGCCCAGAAATCAATGGCATTCCTATACACTAACAATGAGACTGAAGAAAGAGAAATTAAGGAGTCAATCCCATTTACAATTGCACCCAAAAGCATAAGATACCTAGGAATAAACCTAACCAAAGAGGTAAAGGATCTATACCCTAAAAACTATAGAACACTTCTGAAAGAAATTGAGGAAGACACAAAGAGATGGAAAAATATTCCATGCTCATGGATTGGCAGAATTAATATTGTGAAAATGTCAATGCTACCCAGGGCAATTTACACGTTCAATGCAATCCCTATCAAAATACCATGGACTTTCTTCAGAGACTTAGAACAAATTATTTTAAGATTTGTGTGGAATCAGAAAAGACCCCGAATAGCCAGGGGAATTTTAAAAAAGAAAACCATAGCTGGGGGCATCACAATGCCAGATTTCAGGTTGTACTACAAAGCTGTGGTCATCAAGACAGTGTGGTACTGGCACAAAAACAGACACATAGACCAATGGAACAGAATAGAGAATCCAGAAATGGACCCTGAACTTTATGGTCAACTAATATTCGACAAAGGAGGAAAGACGATCCACTGGAAGAAAGACAGTCTCTTCAATAAATGGTGCTGGGAAAATTGGTCATCCACATGCAGAAGAATGAAACTAGACCACTCTCTTGCACCGTACACAAAGATAAACTCAAAATGGATGAAAGATTTAAATGTGAGACAAGACTCCATCAAAATCCTAGAGGAGAACACAGGCAACACCCTTTTTGAACTTGGCCACAGTAACTTCTTGCAAGATACATCCACGAAAACAAAAGAAACAAAAGCAAAAATGAACTATTGGGACTTCATCAAGATAAGAAGCTTTTGCACAGCAAAGGATACAGTCAACAAAACTCAAAGACAACCTACAGAATGGGAGAAGATATTTGCAAATAACATATCAGATAAAGGGCTAGTTTCCAAAATCTATAAAGAACTTATTAAACTTAACACCAAAGAAACAATCCAATCATGAAATGGGCAAAAGACATGAAGAGAAATCTCACAGAGGAAGACATAGACATGGCCAACATGCACATGAGAAAATGCTCTGCATCACTTGGCATCAGGGAAATACAAATCAAAACCACAATGAGATACCACCTCACACCAGTGAGAATGGGGAAAATTAACAAGGCAGGAAACAACAAATGTTGGAGAGGATGCGGAGAAAAGGGAACCCTCTTACACTGTTGGTGGGAATGTGAACTGGTGCAGCCACTCTGGAAAACTGTGTGGAGGTTCCTCAAAGAATTAAAAATAGACCTGCCCTACGACCCAGCAATTGCACTGTTAGGGATTTACCCCGAAGATTCAGAT